TCTACAACTTCCGTACTCAGAGAATATAGGATGCCGGGCAGACCTGTTTTTCACTAGCAGCAACATCTGGCAGCCCACAACATGCTGTCGACTCTCGTAGCGTAGAATAATCGTCCAGGGCAGAAAGGGAGGTTGGTTTGTGCACGGTGAGCATGTTGATAAAGTCACACAGTGCAGTTTGACTATTAAAAAGTTGTATGTGTGATTGCCATGGTATTATTCAGAAAGAGTGCCTGGAAAAAGGTAAAACCCTTGACAATAGGGTGTACAGTGAGATGCTTGTCTGTGCTGACGCTGTTATCAAGGAAAAATGTCGAACTGAGTTCTGGCACAAAAAGGTAATGTTCCATCAAGATAATGCAAGACAACATGTGTCTGCATTAACCAGTTGGACTTTGTACGAAACTCCAATGGGATCTTTTCCTTTTTCCGGACTCACCATATAGCCCCAACATCACTCCTTCAGACTTCTACCTTTTTTCACACCTGCAGTCACATCTTGCTGGTGCTAGATTCCATTTTGCAAAGGTTGTCCAAAATGAGGTTGATCTGTTTTTGGACTCGCATCCGCCAAGTTTCTGGGCCAAGTGCTTTGAAAAACTACCAGAACGTTGGCAGAAAATCAGATTTGGGTGATGATTACTACCTGCACTAAAGGTACTGCTTTATTTTTTTTTTAAACTTTATTAAGAACTTTTTTTGGCGAAAAAGTTTTATTACAACCAGATATTTCTTAGCTGAATTTTGTCAATAAGCACTGCATTCATTGAAATGGATTTTAGAACTTGGTAAGCAGATTTATATGTAGTCATCATGCTACATCTTTTTTGGCCTGACTTAAAATGATCAAATGTTTTCCCCTGTATTTTATGTGACAGATAAAATTGCGAAGTCTTTTCTAAAAGAAAAAGATGCTTTTTATGTACCTTTAAAACTCAAAATTACATTTCTCTGAAATATTATGCCCACTAATAATTAAATTTGCTTCCATTCCAAAGCATATTTGAGTGTATTTGTAGAATCATCAAGTAGGTTTATTTTGGTGCAGAACACCTGAAAATTCAATGAGCCCTTGCCAGGGTTCAATTTCCAAATTTGCCTCCAATTACAGCATGATTGCATGTGTTGACCAAGAAGAAAATTCCTTATATTCTTCTCCACTTAAAAGTCAACTGGGGAGGAGGAGTCCCATTTATCAAATCCAGATGGTGACAAATTATTGTCGACTACATTTTTATGCAGGTATTGCTTATAGACTCATTAAGTTTATTTCAGTGCAAGAAACAAAGAATTAATTTTCATTGGGATTCTAACGTTAGACCTCTCAGTACTAGCCAGACATGTTTCCAATTTCAACATGAGGACATGGGGTAAGAAAAAAAAAATTTCTTACATATTAAGTAGCTGAGTTTAATAGATGTCAAAATGTGCATTGCAAATTGTGATATCATTTCTGAATTAATCTAACTAGATAATAACTAATTTAATAATTAAACTCTAATGGGACAAAAGAAGATGAAAAGTATTTTATTCACCAGGTGATAAAGTGTGTTTCAATTTACATCCCATTAGTAATGCAAAAAACAAAAAGACTTCAAAGTTCATACCAAAGCATGCCGGTTCATGCTTGGTTATGACACAGAAATCGCCTACTTGTGTCAATTCAAACCTTTATAAACCATCAGAACCCTTAGGGATGTACCGTGCTAACACCTTTCAAAGATACGTGTACTTCTCCCATTGTTCTGCTCAGAAAAAGAGGTCAAATGCCAGAAGTTACATTTCCATACTAATCAAGAACTTGAGTGCTTCAAAGAGAGGTCCCCTTGCCGAGGAAACCCAAAAAAAAAAAAAAAACCTGAGATTAGAGACAGTATCACCAGAGCTCCCAAATCTTCCACTTTTGTCTTCTTGCTAGGACGATGATGGAGCCAGAGGAAGAGTTTGTAACCAATCCTTCAATATAAACTCTGCTGTTAATATAAATTACAGTAGACTCACACTAGCAACGAGGGTGCCCTCTGGTGAGTAGCCGAAGAAAGACTTCAGTGAAGGCCAAGTGATAAGCCTGTTAGGTTGTATCAGACTCTTGCTCTGTAATATTCTTAAAATTATATCTGATGTCAGTGGGTAAGTTAAACATGTTAATAAATTATTTTTACACTATAAAGGACTCTTTTATGACCCCATCCAACACGACCCCCCATATATATTTTTTGTTCTTCTCTCTTTATATGCATATATATATTAATATTAATCATCTCTTAATTCTTTTTAACAGACAACTATAACAACAGTGCTCTGTTGCCAAGACAACCAACTTTTCTTAGTATTAACTAAATACAGTTAACAAATATGTAACATCTCCATTCAGAGTTTGTACAGTTCTTTAAAGTCTGTAGGGTTTTTTAAATGATATTTTGTTGTTAAAAGTCCTTAAAATTTCAGAAAAAATTTACAAACCATCCTTTATTTTTCTCATTTAACATTTCCATATCTTTTATGGGTACAACTCTGTTAGAGCGGCATGTTGAAAATGTGCCAACAACCGCACCAGATATCTTGGGTCGAAAATTTAACATTTGAAATATCGTGGCTCGAGATTTCTAGTTTTCCTTTTAAATATTGTCATTGTTTTTTTTTTTTTTTTTTTTTTTCTCCCATATTTCACCATTTTTTTTTAATATGATGGATTACACAATTTGGCAGTTGCCTAATGACGAAGAAGTTGTCATAAGATTCTTTCAGGATAAAGGAATAATTAATAACAACAGACTTTGTTCTCAGACTCATCCAATAAAGTTAACTTTTGATTCAGACAAAGCTCCTATATGGCGTTATTATGTATGTTCTTGCTGAAAAAAAAGAAAAAAAAATTAGTGAGAACCAAAATATGGTTTGAAGGCTCGCATCTTACTTTCCTCAATGCCATTTGTTTCATCTATCTGTGATATGAAGAATTGATGTCAATTGATTTTTGCGAATTTCAATTAGAAATGAGCCATATATGACAGTAGATTGGAATAACTACTTGAGGGAGGTATGTGCAAATAGTTTGATGTAAAAGAATTAAACTTTGTGGAACCAGCAAAATTGTAGAAATATACGAAAGTCTTTTTACAAGAAGGAAAAACAACATTAAACGTGTTCTTCCAGAGCAATGGGTATTCGGGGGTTTATGCCAGGTAAGCAAAGAATGTTTTCTGGTCGCCGTTCCTGATTGTTGTGCTATAACATTGATGGCTGCCATTCAAGAAAACATCACGAGTGGCACCATTATATTTTATATATAAAAGAATATAAGCTAGAACTAACAAATGCTATGAACATTTCACCATGAATCACAGCTATAATATTGTAGACCCTGAAACTGCATGCCATATCCAAACTGTGTAGTGATTGTAGGGCAGTACTAAATGGGGAAATAAATGTCAAAGAAGCACTGCTCTCCACCATTTAGAATCTATGTGGTGTCGACGATATTCAAAAACTAAAAATTTTTCTGCAATATTGAATGATATTCATAATTTTATGTCACCTGCTTAGATTGTATTTCTTTTTATTTTGATATTTTTTATTTATGTATAGAATTTAAGTTACAGAATTGTTTTAAAAAATTACTTTCTTTGAGAATTAAGAGATTTTTAAAAAATTTACTTTTTACAGAATTAATTTTTTGTATTCTTTTGAATTCTATTATTATTTTATAATTTAATACTTGGCAAGAATTGGAGGCAAAAAAAAAAGTGGCGCTTTTTTAACTGATGCCGCTCTAATTGAACAGTCACTTTTTCATAACTGCCATTCGAAGTGGAAATTGACATGTCAAAATTTGAACTTCATAAAACTTCTACTTCCACTCACTGTTATCTAAAATTTTTCCTGGGGTCATATGCACAAGCACCATTATGTGTGCTTGATTTATTTGTATTTCAAGTTGATCTATTTCTATTATTTGCAGTTTGTAAGCCTCGTGTGATACTTTGTAGAGCATGAGGAATTTTTTGGCTTTTAATTAAAGAAAAAAAGCACTGAACAAATTTTATTATTTAAAGCAGCTTTAATTTAGAAATTAAACAATGAAATATGAAGATTGTTGAGATAAAAAGACTGATCAGGAAAGGATACTTAGAAAAAGAATATTTCACCCTAATTTTTTGTTGAAAAATGAAACAATATACATGTCAAATATTTGATAAGCAATAGGAATAGATCCTATTTTTTGTCATATATGTCAATGCTGCAAACAGCCAGAAATCCATCCACACACCTTCTGTCTGCAAGAAAAGAAGTAAAATAATCTAGTAACCTTGACCTGAAAAAAAGGAAAGCAATTGTCGTCACTCTTAATTGGATCTTCATCACACCTACGGGGGGGGGGGACTAGCTGATTAACTTGGCAAGTGTATACTGGCAATACGACATTGCCTTATTGAAAAAATCAGACATCCGCAAGTCTCTGCAGCATATAGGTAGCATATGTAGAGTGATTTAGAATTTTCTGAGATAAAAAAAAGCAAATTTTGTTATGGAATATGTGTTCCATGATGGAACACATATTTCCCATGTGAATCTTGAATAAAATGCATCATTACAGAAATGTGGAACTTAATATCATACATTTATCTGTGAGCTGCTGAAAAATGTAGGAAATGTAGTAGGTACTCAAAGTAAAAGTGTTCTGCAGGTACAAATTGTCATTTCCTGTGTAAGTTTTGAGTGAAATTTATCCAGGAACCTCCCCCTCCCCCCTTTTTTTATAAATGGAAGTATTTGAGATTCAGTTTTTCATTCATGATGAGTTTTAGTAAACTGAAGACAAAACTTATATTAAATGATTTTTTAAATTAAACTTTTTGTGCTTGAATTTCCAAATCTTTCTCTGTTTCTTTTTTAATGTATTTTTATTTGTCTTTAAACTCCTATTTTTTATACTGTGTTTGTAAGATTTGTTAGTATTTTATTAATTGTATGTATATATATTGTTATTGAATTTATAGTTGGATAAAATTTGAAGAAGATGTAGAAGAAGGTGGTAATCGCTGGTCTAAGCCTCATGTTGCCACAGTGTCTTTACATTCGCTTTTTGAACTTAGGAGCTGTATATTAAATGGAACCATTGTATTAGATATGGATGCTTATAGTCTTGAAGAAATTGCAGGTAAAGATTGCTCATCTTTATTATGGTCATTCATTCAAAAATTTGGAAGAATATCTGTTTAGTACAATTTTGATATGGTATCACGTGATATAAAACAATCATTCATCACGGATTACTTTGGGGTTAGCATATAAAAGAGAATCTATATAAAGAGTTCTCCATTACTAACGATGGTTGATGATGGAGAATCCAATGCTAACAGTTGATTTGTCGTTGAAAATGAACAACTTACATTTTTTTATGAAAGGAAGGGGGGAAATCCGTGTTTTTCTGTTTAAAGCAGGTAGAAAAATTGTTTGAAACAATTGTTCGTCCAGAAAAAATAGGTGTGTGATAGCAGCTTTAAAGATATTTTAGAAGAGGTTAGTGTTTGATACTTGATTGTTTAAAATAACATGCATATATTGCCATTATAGAAAAAGTTACAAAATTAAAGATTAGGCATATTTTTTGCATTCCTTCATAGAAAAGTTTTTGTGATAATTCTAATTTTTTTTTTTTTTCGTGTGTGCGGGCAGATTTAGTTTTGGAGCACATGGAATCAAGTAATCAGATCAGTTCTGATGTGAAAGGCAATATTAAAGAAGTGTTATTGCGTCCTCATCGTCATCAACATGAACTCAGAAGTGAATGGTCAGAAAAGGGTTCTCGACTTCCTTTGATTAGATCTTTGACAGATGTTGGCCGTAATTCTATCAGAATTAATCAGCATCGTAAGTAAAGATATTTTATTTACCTGCTTAAATATATAAATTATAAACTGCTTAATTACATAAATATGCTCTAAATGTTTTATTATAGTGAGAGGTGTGCTTGTATACGTTACTCAGAGCTTTCAATTTTATATAAATAACTTTAAGCTTAATATTTAAAATAAGCAAAAGCAATCTGATACCGGATTTCTTCAGCCATCTGCTAATCACTTTTAATAAATCAAGTTGTTTATTATGTTGTCATTAAATAATAAAAATATGCTCATCAGATTTGTTCAAAAACTTTGCAAAGATGTATGAAATGTATCTGAACTGTGTATGTGAGCAATATTGGGAAACACATCTTGGATCACTTCAGATATTCAGTATCAAGTTGTAGGGTTTATATTTATTTTAACTAACATTTATTTTAAGTTTAAACTATCTTTCCTGTCAAGCCTTACTTTCCCCTGGAACTGCCAATGCCAGAATATGTAAATTTGAGTAGAACGCGCAAGGATTCAAATTATCAGCGGAAGTATTATGATTTAAATAGAAGGAAACGAGTTCGGTGAGAGAGTTATTCTTACTTAGCGAGCGCGGAGGTAGTTATCGAGAATTGAAGAACCCCGCGTTGCGGCCTATGTGCTTGGCGGGAATTAGTGGAAATTGTTCCAGTGAGCTTCAAGTCTGCTGAATTAGCAGCCGTATTGTAAAACGCGGTGAGTTAGTTATTTTAGAGAGCCTCGTAGTTAGAATCTTGTCTTTACTTTCTTTTTCAGGTTATTATTTTTATTTTGACTGCCTAGTGGGCACAGTCTGTAAGCGTCAAGAGGACGCCATTGTAATTTATTACGTTGAATAAAAAGGGACTTAAACCCTTTATAAGACTCTGTGGTTTATACAAGCTTTCACAGTCACCTCTTGGTTGCGTGCAAGTTAGAGGCGCGCAACGTTATATTGGCGCCCGAACACTTATCGAACTGAAATGGCCGAAAACTGGATGGAAGCCGCTGGACACACACAAGAAATGACAACGCAGTTAGAAGGATTTGGATACCTGGTCCAGACTTTGAGAGCATCAATCAAGCCAAACGTCTATTTCGACGGAAAAAATTCGGGTGTCCGTATTTTTAGAAGGTATAGAAAACCACTTTCAGCTCTATCCTGTGCCTGAAAGACAAAAAGTTGCTATTGCCACATCAGCACTAAGAGGACAGGCCGCACTATGGTGGAAAAATATAGGCAAATTTCTTCTAGGTGAATTTGGAAGCCCGACGTATACTTTTGAAAATTTCAAAAAATCGTTAGTAAAGGCCTTCCCCATAGTGAAAGATCGCGCACGGCTGGAAGCCGAGCTATATAGTTTCTATCAACGGGATACAGCACAATTGACGGACTTTATTTTACGAAAAATCAAGCTAACGGATATGCTGTATGGCAAAAAAACCCGATGCGGAGATTATTGAAATAATATTACCAAGATTGTTACCCGCTGTTCAAGACTACTTTGAAATTAGAAACCCAACCATATTGCAGGAACTTTTCGAATTGGCGGTGAAATTTCAAAATCGCAGAATAGCGGAAAGAGCGAGAGGGGAAACATATTCTCAAAGTACCAGAAGGAAGGAGGAAACCAGAAATGGAAATCACTCATATGGGGGAAAGAACTATCAAACTAACGCATCGAAACTCGAAGGTCAAGGCCCAAAAAGAAAATTTGAAAATAAGCATCCGCGTACCCAGAAGACACAGATTGAAAGGAAAGCTTTAAACGACTAGAGGGGCCTGTGAAAGGGAGGGTCCAGACCCCGGAAGTTTTAGAAAAACCCTCAAATAGACATCTAAATACAGTCGTCGTAAAAAACTCACAGCTACCAATTATACAAGTCCTGGTGGTTGGCGATGTACCAGTAGAAGCCCTCATCGATACAGAGGGGCAGAAGGAAATTTCATGAGTGAAAAGTTCTTCAAAAAGAATTTTTATAGGATACGACTATTCAAAACCAGAAATACGGAAATTATAGTGGCGCAAGGAAAAACATGTCACTGCATCGGGAAAGTATCATTAAACTTACAGATAAAAGAGGAAAATCTCAAAGTATTAATTTTTGTGGTGAAAGACCTCCAACACTCTCTTATTTTAGGTATGGACTTTTTAAGGGCCGTGAGGGCCAAATTAAATTTTCAAGATAGTTCCGTGGTGCTGGAGATGGACCAGAGGGTGGTGGAACCTGCAGAGACACCTGAATTGGACCTTAGCCATCTGAATGACCAGGAAAGTAAAGCAATACAGCAAGTGGTGAGTAATTTTTCTCATTTGTTTTCAGAAAAACCGGGAAACTGTCAGATCGTGACTCACAAGATTCAATTAAATGCCGAAAAACGAAAAACCTTGTAGGACTAAACCGTATCGCTATGATAAACAAAAAGACTTAATCATCAAAGAACATATTCAGGAGATGTTAAAGAATAAAATAATAACGCCCATAAACAGTGAATACGCGAGTCCAGTCGTACTATGTAGGAAAAAGAACGAGTTTCCTCCTTCGGATAAAAGGGCTTGGAGGTTTGCTATTGATTACAGAAAACTAAATAGTATTACCAAATTTCCAGTTTACCCTTTGCCGGTTATAGACGAGATCATTAGACAGATCAAATCGACAAGATATATGTCTACTTTGGACTTAACGTCTGGCTACTATCAAATAGCTATGAGACCCGAAGATATACATAAAACCGCGTTATAACAAAATCGGGCACTTATGCATTTTTACGCATGCCTTTTGGGGTGTGTGGGGCCCCATCAACATTCCAGAGAGCTATGGACATTGTTCTAAAGCCTGTCCTAGGAAAATCAACTTTAATTTATCTAGATGATATAATTATAACGAGTAGTACGTTGGAAAAACACATTAATGACCTCGAACAAGTTTTTAAATTATTATAAGAGGCCGGTCTTACAATTAACGCCTCAAAATGCAAGTTCGCAACTAAAGAACTTAAATATCTCGGTTATAAAATTTCGCAAAAGGGTATAGAAATGCAAGATTCAAAAATAAAAGCTATTAAGAATTTCCCACCGCCCAACACCGCCAAGAAACTTTCGTCTTTCCTTGGACTATGTTCTTACTATCGATCTTTCATAAAAGATTTCGCTAATATTGTTGAACCACTCTTAGTAATCAAAAGAAAAAAGAGTAAATTTACGTGGACAGCTGAAGCAAACACAGCTTTTGAAAGATTAAAAGAAGCGCTTATTCAATGCCCCTGTTTTAAGAAATTCCCGGAGGGGGATGAAAACCTCGAAATTGCGGCCAGATGCATCGGACTATGCGGTGGGTGCAGTTCTTATGCAAAATAACCATCCGCTGGCATTTTTTAGTAAAAACATTGAATTCAAACACAAAGGAATTATACAGCTACAGAAAGAGAAACATTAGCCGTATTAATGGCTGTACACGAATTTCGAGTTTATTTCGGCAAATCGCCAGTAACAGTCTTTTCGGATCATGCGGCTGTTGGTAGACTTTACTCGGGAAAAAAACCTAACGCCCAGGTTAATAAGATGGGCTTTAAAACTCCAAGAATATAATATCACAATAAAATATAAACCGGGTAAGGAAAACAATGTAGCTGATGCACACTCTCGTATAAAACTGGACGATGAAGGTAATGAAATTAAATGCGCTGTGTTGACTTCAAAAATTTTAGATTCTAGAGATACGGTTATTACTGAACTGAAAGCTGATCCTGAATTTGGAAATATCTATGCTTATTTGAAAGACCCCGAAAGCTTTGAGCACAAAGATATCGATGCGATAAGAAATAGAGCAAAAAACTATGAAATAATAGATAATTTATTATTCTATACGAAAACAACAAACGAAAATCTTGAGTATAAGCCAGTCATCCCAGCCTCGCTTCGATTAAGCATTTTGAGGGAGTTGCACGAAAAAAAAACAGCGGGCCACCTCGGGGTCAGAAAGACTATAAAAAGGGTACGCGAGGCGGTATATTTCCCGCAATTATACAAAATAGTAACGGCGTATGTCAGGTCCTGCAATCAATGTCAGTTAATAAATGATATTAATTACAGCCCGGCCGGGTGTACTTAAATAGCATTCGCGCTACATTTCCGAATGAAATTTTAGGCATAGATCTCCTTGGTCCCTTCCCCCAGAGCGAGTTAAATAAAAATCGTTTTCTTTTAGTAATAGTAGATCATTTTTCAAAATGGATAGAAATTGTTCCACTTAAACGCGCGTCAGCCAAAACAGTCGCAGATGCATTCTTACACAGATACATTTTAAAATACGGTGCACCGATAAAAGTCATTAGCGATAACGGAAAACAATTCATTAGTCAAATATTTGAAAACATATGCAATGGACTTGATATACGCCATATCAAAATGATTCCGTATAGACCACAGGCTAACATAGCAGAAAGAGTTAATAAAAACATTGTAAAAATAATTCGCAGTTACGTTAGCACACATCACAAGCGCTGGGATGGCTACATAAATGAATTAGCTTATGCTTTAAGAACGGCACATCATGATACTACGGGAAAAACTCCAGCAGAATTATTTTTAGGCAGAAAGTTAATTACGCCTTTAGATAAATTATTCTTTGTGCAACAAAGAGAGCAGGAATTTAGACAAAAAGACGTGCAAAAGCTAATTGATCAGGCGCTTAAAACCTCGGATACGGCAAGAAATAGGCAGAAACTTTATTATGATAGAAAACGCCGTGAAGCAGATTTTAAAGTTGGGGATAAAGTATTGAAACGGAAATTTTCTTTATCAAGTGCCCCAGACAATTTTATGGCAAAGCTAGCTCCGAAGTTTGAAGGCCCCTATGTAATTCAGGAAATCAAAGGAGTAGTCTTATATCTCAAAAACGAGAGAGGGGAAATCTGTAAAGCAAGTCCCGACCAGGTGAAAAAATACTATAATCCAAATGATTTTGAAATCCTTAAAAGTTTCTTGCAGGACTCAAGTCTAAACGAAATAGAAG